GTGGGATCGGGCCGACTTGGGTGGGATTTTGCGGGGGGAGAAGAAGGGAGAAGGTGACGTGCGTGGCGCCATGATCGGAAGTCTGGGTTTAATTCTGAGCTGCGAGGTGGAAAATTTGCGTGGGAGGGCGATTTCAGAGGTGAAGCCTCGCCTTCCCTTCTCCTGAGCAGAAGGGTTGTTCTAAAAGCTGGTTTTGCTGGTCTTTCATTCTGGCTACAGGCAATTCCAAAGGTGCATTCACGGATACATGGCTCTCTGGGAGATTATTCAAGTCCCCTTTTATCTCTATCTGAGCTTGATGTAAATAAATCTCCACATTCCTTTAACTAGTTGCTGTTATCATACTAAATATCTTCTGTAATTAGGGGTTGTGTAATACCAGCCCAGGAGTCTCAGACTCTTTTTAGTGGAACTATTTTTATACGGTATACCCTTCAGGCAGAGGGAAATAGTTCTATAAAGTAAAATCCCTTTAAAAAAAAATTAGAGGGGCATATGTTTTGGTTCATTAGTTTTATTAATATGTTTTGTTTTGCCCAAGAGGCCTAAAATAAGAAACTGGTATTGTCTTACCATTTGACTTTTAAGAAATCAGATCTCGCACTCCAGAGAAAAAGGGTTTTAAGTATGTGAAGGTACAGAAGGCTTATTAATTGGGAGTTTACAGTTTTTCAATCAAGTACTGGGACCGAGTCCTTGGTTATTCTCTTTTTAGTTGCATAAAAATTGTTCTAAGAAACAACAAGTATCCTTGTAAATTGTAAATATGTGATAAAGTATATAGAAAAGAAGAAAGGGTCCTAGAAAATTCACAAGAAAAAAAAAGACATGCCATGCCCCTGACTTGGTAGGAATAATTAGTAGACAACCAGATAGGCATCCTTCTGCTTCTGTTGCTCCATTGGGACATGGCTATTAACTCACTATGAGAAAGAACAGGAGAGAAGAACTAGAACTTGGCAATCTGCCCACTGAGACAAGACATTTCCACTGGAGTGAAAACAAAGGATTGGCCAGGCAGGCAAGGCTTGGTATCTGTACTAGTCAGGATAAGCTAAGTTGTAACAAACATCTCAGCAGCTTATTGCAACAAAGGTTTATTTCTCACACTGTTACCTGTTTGACCATGTTTGATACAAGTCAACAGGTAGCCTATCACAGTGGGATTCACTATGGAACAGACCCCTAAAACTCTTAGATTTTCATGCAGGAGGTTATTGGATAGATAGTGCTTCTAGGGACGATCTCTTTGGAGCGGAGGGTCACACTATCAGGCAGAGGGAGAAATTAAAGTGCAACACAGTTGTAAATGACGCTTTAACCCAGCCATTCTCAACCTGTGGGTCACGACCCCTTTGGGGGTCGAACAACCCTTTCACAGGGGTCGCCTAAGACCATCAGAAAACACATATAATTACATATTGTTTTTGTGATTAATCACTATGCTTTAATCATGTTCAATTTGTAACAATGAAAATACATCCTGCATATCAGATATTTACATTACGATTCATAACAGTAGCAAAATTACAGTTATGAAGTAGCAACGAAAATAATTTTATGGTTGGGGGTCACCACGACATGAGGAACTGTATTAAAGGGTCGCGGCATTAGGAAGGTTGAGAACCACTGCTTTACCCAATTCTGCAGAGAGCACTGAGGGGTGGACCTTCAACATTGTCCTAAATTGGGGCAGGGGCCAGGTCTTTATACCCTCATATCAACCAGTCATTGAACAGGTCTACCCCTAGGGAAGGGAGACAACCTTGGGATAGAGCGCTTTCTTTAGCCAAGAGCAACCCCAGAGAGGGACCCAGCTGGCAGCCACCAGCATCTCCAGCAGCTGGGAGAGGTTGTACTTGAGTCCTGAAGGGTAAATCTGGGTAGCTCAGCACAACCTCTACTACATGGACTCTGCTCCTTGTAGTTACTCAAGTCCCCCGACTGATGGAAGCTTCAAAGAGACACATGCTTTCCAGATTGCCACTGTAGGAATCATGGGATGTAATTGCTGGTGCTGCAGTGTTTTTTGGTATGTCTGAGGAATGAAAAGGAGGCCAATTTATTAAAGCATAGGAGATTAAATTAGAGAGGTAGGCATGTGCCACATCATACGAGGCTGGTAAGGCCATCATGAAGGTGAGGATCGTTTCCCTATTTGCTCAGTTCCATTCCCTTCCCTCCTCTTCTTTTTACAGGGGCTGACTGCTTCAAACTAAATTTCCAACACTCCCTTGCATACTGGCTTCCAGTTCAGCCCAGCCAATGGGAGGCACAAGCTTAAGTAAATCCAAGCTCCTTAAAATGGAACAGAGGCGCCGAAACCGGTTTAGCTCAGTGGATAGAGCGTCGGCCTGCGGACTGAAAGGTCCCAGGTTCGATTCCGGTCAAGGGCATGTACCTGGGTTGCGGCCACATCCCCAGTGGGGGATGTGCAGGAGGCAGCTGGTCGATGTTTCTAACTCTCTATCTCTCTCCCTTTCTCTCTGTAAAATATCAATAAAATATATTTTTTAAAAAAAATGGAACAGAGGCTCCCGCTCATTCGTTCCTTTCTTCGGCAAATATGTATTGTCCAGTAGGCTCTATACGAGGCTACTTTGGACATAATGAGCAAATCTATCAAAGTCTCTGCCCTCACAGACCTCTGGGATACCAAAGAACCATGCGTTTCTCAAACACACATGCCTTTGTGCCTTCGCACTTTCTGCTTTGTCTGCCAAGAATGCCCTTTCCCCCCCTGATTATCTCATTAATTCTTTTTACCGTTCGACACCCAGCTCAGATTGTACTACCTCTGAGAAGATTCCTCTGACCCCAAACTCCAAACAAAATGATTCTCTCTTTGCATTACTTTATTTTCGTTTTTATAATTTATAGTATTTTTATGATAAACATGCAAGAGCTTTACAATCAGAGAAAAATATATAGTTCACTGTTTTTAAAAGAACAGATATGAATGATACCTGTATGGTGCCTGAATTTCAAATTAGACAGGTTTTTTGTTTTCTTCAAGAGTCATTTTCCTTTATTAAATTTTAGGTAACTCCACCTACCCCACATTAATTTCATAATCTGTCTTTTATACCTTTCATATGAATTAGTTAATAACATATTTTCTAATAGTTAATCCAGAAGACATCTGTTCAGAGGGAAAGAAATATGAGGGTATTGATTGGGTTTGGGAGTTGTCCAAAAGGAAAACAGATACTGAAAGGAATGAGGGAGGAAGTGTGGACAAACTCGATCACTTCATACATTTTCCTGGGCTAGCCATGTCTGTGGCTAAGGCAGAATAGATTATCCTCATTTTATTTTGAAAAGTGAAGCACATGCATATCCAAAAGTAAATAAATAAAAGCAATTAATCAAGTCTGTATACCAAAAGACTGAATTAAAGTCCTCACCCTAGCCTGGGTCACTCAGTTCTGTCAGAGCATTGTCCCAGTATGCCAAGGTTTCAGGTTCAGTCCTCGGTCAGGGCACATACAAGAATAAACCAGTGACCTGGCTGTCATCAACCTATGTACCAGGAGGTCACGATTCGATTCCAGGTCAGGCTACACACCTGGGTTGCGGGCTTGACCCCCAGTGTGGGGCATGCAGGAGGCAGCCGATGAATGATTCTGATCTTTGTTTCTATCTCTCTCGCCCTCTCCCTTCATCTCTGAAATCAATAAAAATATTTTTAAATATAAATTATTTTATATTTAAATATATAGTTATAGATTATATTATGTTAAATATATAATTATTTTTTAATTAATAAAATTATTTCATGAAGTAGTTGGAGCTAGTTGTAGTCCCTGGAGTGAAAAGCCAGGTAACTGAGGACACAAAATAAGGCAAAGATATTTGATTCTGCACAGGCGTCTTTGTATCTTGAGGATTAGAAAAAAAATCATAATGAATATTTTTTTTTTTACTGCACATTCTACAAATGTTTGAAACATTTTCTAGGAATTAAGTATGTCACCATTATTCTCACCTAGATGCTGAGGCTGTGGCATAAACATTGCAATGCACAGAAGTTAGAGAACAAGACTGTCTTATGGCCTTGCATTCTAGTTTTTCTGGCTTTTGATAAATTTTTATCTGGCCTCTCATAATGACCTCCAAATAACTGCTGTAGACTATCTGCTTATGGAAATTACACAAATAATTTCAAGAGCAACTGAAACTACTGTAATACCTTCCTTGCAACCTTCACCCTGTGTAAGATAAGTACATATTCATTCTTTTTAGAGGCTACTGAAATATAGAAATATTTACTTCAAAACTTACTTTCTGCTCCAGCTGAAAGTGGATAGAGGGTCAGTCTATGGACAGAAAGGTCCCAGGTTCTATTCCAGCCAAGGGCACATGCCCAGGTTGAGGTTCAGTCCCCAGTGGGGGGAGTGCAGGAGGCAGCCAATCAATGATTCTCATCATTGATGTTTCAATCTCTCTCATTCTCTCTGAAATCAATAAAAATACATATTTTTTAAAATGCTTTCTTCTTTCTTTATCTAGAATTTTCCTGCTTAAAATTGGTTAGATATTTAGAGCTAAAATGTGGTGTTTTTATTTTCTAAACACAAAACTAATCATACTTAAAATTTGAACCTCTTCCACTCAAAAATTCCTTTTCTCTTCAACTAAAACACCAATGTTAAATGCCCATTGCTGTAGGAAGTTGAATTATACAACATATTTAGGATAAAATCTTTTTTTTTTTAAATATATTTTATTGATTTTTTACAGAGAGGAAGGGAGAGAGATAGAGAGTTAGAAACATCGATGAGAGAGAGACATCGATCAGCTGCCTCCAGCACATCTCCCACTGGGGATGTGCCCGCAACCCAGGTACATGCCCTTGACCGGAATAGAACCTGGGACCTTTCAGTCCGCAGGCCGACGCTCTATCCACTGAGCCAAACCGGTAATAAAATATGTTTTTTAAAAAAAGAAAGAAACATCAATGATAAGAGAAAATCATTGACCAGCTGCCTCCTGCACAGCCCCCACTGGGGACTGAGCCCACAACCCAGGCATGTGCCCTTGGCCGGAATCAAACCCAGGACCCTTCAGTCCGCAGGCCAATGCTCTATCCACTGAGCCCAACCAGCTAGGGCTAGGATAAAATCTTTGTCTAAATTTGGTCTCAAAGGTGTTCGAAAAGCAAGAAGACCACCCACTCTTTTTTATAGAAAGAAATCCAAGTTACACTTATAAAATAACAATTTTAAAAAAGGCTGATCATGGGCAGCTCATCTCAAAGCACGTCCGTATTTCATTTGGCATAAAGCTAAACATATCTCTGGCATCTTTAATATTATTTTGCTTCAAAACAATCATTGCCTTCTACTGGCTAACTCATTTCTCCTGGGGGACTCTCTTCCAGTATATACTGTTCGTATTAATCCCATTTTTCATTATAGCCCTAGCTGGTGTTCTGTGATTAGAGCATCTGCGTTCACAGATTTGATTCCTGATCAAGGGCACATACTTGGGGTGGAGGTTCGCTTGGGACATGTGCAAGAGGCAACCAGTCAATGTGTCTCTCTCACATGGATGTTTCTCTCTTGTTCGCTTTTTCTCTCCCCCGCCCCCCTCACTTCCACTCTCCCTGAAAAAGCAATGGGAAAAATATCCTCAGATGAGGATTAACAAAAAATAATTTCTTCAGTATATATATGCTTTTATCCAGAAATTGGCTCTATAAACTTATTCTTCTTAAAGCACAGAATTAAAATATGGAACTATCAGGCTTATGGGTTTTTTCTCTTTCAAATATTACAGAATAATTGTTCCACATACCAAAAATAAATGCCTTTAGGAAAAGGCACCAAACACAAACTATTACTAGAATGGTTTCACAGCTAAGAATTACTCATACACATTCTGTTTCCAAGTTTTATGTAGGACATCTGAGAGAAATTTTATTTGCTATTGCCTCTCTTTCCTACATCTTCCTCTTAGGATTTTTTTTTTCTTTGCACAAAATGTCAGTAATAGAAAAAATGGGGCAGAGAGGAAAATCTGGTGGTATGATTAGCCTCAGTAACAATTTCTAATTAAAAGGCTAATGATCAATATCACACAACCAGTTATCCATGACCTCACCTATCTCTAACTAAGGACATGTTTAATGTTAAGGTAATTTTTAATGTCATTTTCTTCTTTATACTTTTCTATATTTTTTACTTCCTACAATATATTCTTTTTAAATTAGAAAAATATAAATATTATTTTAAAATAGTAGCTCAGGACAAAGAAAATTTTAAAAAGTAGTCTTTGGTATTAACAACAAAAATTATACTCAAGGTAAGGAAATGCAAAAAAAAAAAAATACCAAACTCTCTGCATATTGCCAAAAAACAAATTATTTCACAGATGACACTTTATCATCAGCACCATATCCTAACACTTATCAAAATCTTCTGGATTTTTTAATATTCTATTTAGTACTTTGGTTTATTACCATTAGATTTGTGACTCTTTTTTATTTTTCTATTTTATTGTAATATATCATTCATGTAAGCTTCCCAAAGCCCTTGGTGGAAGAGAAACAGTGTAAAGCGATTCCAGCACTAGAATTTTAACCAGGTTTGACCAGGTCCACATAGTTAGCTGAAGTGGGAATACTTCTTTAGAGCAAGGCATCATGAAGATAGCAAAACAACTAACCATGTGGCTAAAACCCACAGTATAAAAGAGCTCCAGCATGCAGTCAACATAGGCATACCTACAAACAACAGATCATCAGCGATATGCAGGAAGTTCTGAGATTTAGTTCTATTTCTTCTTGATTATACAACTAATGAAAACCCTTAGCTGCAAATGGCTAACTTGTGTTTTCTTAAACTTGTTTTTTGTTTTTGTTTTTTTTTTAATATATTTTATTGATTTTTTACAAAGAGGAAGGGAGAGGGATAGAGAGTTAGAAACATCGATCAGCTGCCTCCTGCACCCTCCCCACTGGGGATGTGCCCGCAACCAAGGTACATGCCCCTGACCGGAATCGAACCCGGGACCCCTCAGTCCACAGGCCTACGCTCTATCCATTGAGCCAAACCAGTCAGGGCCTTAAATTTGTTTTAATGTACCTTCTTCTGCTGATTTTCTTTTATGGGTTCGGTTCTTGCACAGTGCAGATCTGGCTAATATACTAACAAGACGACTTATGAGATCAGGACCTTTATTATTATTTGCTAAAGCAGTGATGCTTTCTAAACCTGTAAATTCTAAATGATCACTTCAAATTGTATTGTCTAGGTTGTCAGTACAATTCCTGGTCAGGGCACATACTTAGGTTGTGGGTTTGATCCCTGGTGAGGGGGCATATGGGAGGCAACCAATCGGTGTTTCTCTCTCACATTGATGTTTCTCTTTCTCTCTCTCCCTTCCTCTGTCTCTAAAATCAGTAAAACATATCCTTGGGTGAGGAGGTAAAAATAAATGGTGCAGCCCTAGCTGGTTTGGCTCAGTGGATAGAGCATCGACCTGTGGACTGAAGGGTCCCGGGTTTGATTCTGGTCAAGGGTACATGCCCAGGTTGTGGGCTTGGGCCCCTGTGTGGGGCGTGCACGAGGCAGCCTATCCATGATTCTCTCTCATCATTGATGTTTCTATCTCTCTCTCCCTCTCCCTTCTCTGAACTCAATAAAAATATATTTAAGAAATAAAAAAATAAATGGTGCAGCCGTTTTGGAACACATTTTGATAGTTCTTCAAAAGTTAAGCATACTTGCCCTGACCGGTTTGGCTCAGTGGATAGAGCGCCGGCCTGTGGACTGAAGGGTCCCAGGTTCTATTCTGGTCAAGGGCATGTGCCTTGGTTGCAGGCACATCCCAGTGGGGGTTGTGCAGGAGGCAGCTGATCTATGTTTCTCTCTCTTCGATGTTTCTAACTCTCTATCCCTCTCCCTTCCTCTCTGTAGAAAATCAATAAAAATATATTTTAAAAAAAAGTTGAGAATACAGTAACCATATGACCCAGTAATTCTAATCCCAGGTATGTACCTAAGAGAAATAAAGACATATCTATATGAAAATTTGTACATAAGTATTCACAGCAGTACTATTCATAATAACCATAAAGAATAAATAACTCGAATGGACATCAATTGATAAATGGATAAATAAAAATGGTATGTCCATGTAATGGAATATTATTTAGCCCTAAAAATGTGTGAGGTACTGATACATGCCATAGCGTGGGTAAACCTTGAAAACTGAGTGAAAGAAGCCCGACTCAAAAGACTATACATTGAATGATTCTGTTTATATAAAATGTCCAGAATAGGCAAATTTAAAGACAAAGTAGATTAGTGGTTGCCTAGGGTTGAAGGGGGAAAGGGATTGGGAGCAAATGGGGAGTGACCAGTACTGGAGAAGGAGTTTCTTTTGGGAATGATGAAAATGCTATAAAATTGATTGTAGTGATGGTTGTACAATTCTATGAATACAGTAAAAACTACTGAATTGTCCTATTTGTTTATTTATTTATTTTTGTTAATCCTCACCCAAGGATATTTTTTCATTGATTTTTAGAGAGAGTGGAAGGGAGGGGAAGAGATACAGAGAGAGAAACATCCATGTGAGAGCTCTCTCCCACATGGGCCCTGGGGATCAAGCCTGCACCCGAGGAACATGCCCTTGACCGGAATCTAACATGGGACCCTTCAGTCAACAGACCAATGATCTATTCACTGAGCAAAAATGGCTAGGGTTGAATTGTCCACTTTAAATGAGCTAATTGTATTCTATATGTAGTCTATCTCAATAAAGACGTTTTTACAAAGGAACTGAAAGGCATTTGCCAGTAACAACTAAATTGTTAATTCTCAGCTCCAGCCCATGTGGCTCAGTTGGTTGGGCATCATCCTGTGTACCAAAAGGTTGCCAGTTTGATTCCTGGTCAGGACACATGCCCAGGGTATGGGCTCAATCCCCGCTAGGGGATATGCAGGAAGCAGCCAAGTGGATTGATGTTTCACTCTCACATCAGTGCTTCTCTCTCTCTCCCTCTCCCTTTCTTTCTCTCTAAAAAAATAAAATAAAAATTGCTAATCTTCAGACTTTCACTTCTCTTGTAGAGAGGAAGGGAGAGGGAGAGAGAGAAACACCGCACACACCCAGTGACCCTCCGGTGCACTGGACAACTCTCGACTAACGGAGCCACACTAGCCAGGCTCTTGCAGGACACAATACTTTTTGAGAACAGAACCACACTTGAGAAACACAGTAGATCTTAAAGCAAAAATTTCTGAGTCCTTCTATTAACCTTAGAAGCGGGGCAA